AGGAATTTTTCTTCAAATGTTTGGCGTGTTCTGTTCCTGAAAGATTTACTAATATTCTGGAGATTTTTTTCAAGTTCTTCGGCCTTTTCCTTAGGGAAATTTTGTTTCTTATTTGCTGCTAAAAAATGGCGTCTGATTCAGTCAATGACTTTGATGGAACTAAATGAAAACGTGATAAATTAATGTCCGATATTTACAGGCTCCCGCTAGACGGCGTACTCGAGCGTTGCGATCGCGAATTGAAACCTTCAGTTATCTAAATTGTTACCAATTGTTAAAAAGCATTCAATAGTTAATACTTATTTCATTATAAAAGTGTTTTTAAAATTTGAAATGATTGTCAAGTTATATTATAGCTTCATAATAAGAGTAAGGATTGATGATTGTTGTTGTTGTGGTTCATTTACGTCGCACTAGAGCTGCACAATGGGCTATTGGCGATGGTCTGGGAAACATCCCTGAGGAAGATCGGAAAGCATGCTATCACAATTTCGATCCTCTGCAGAGGGGATGGCACCCCGCTTTGGTAGCTCGACGACCTGCAAGCGAAGTCGAGCACTTTACGGTAGAGCAGTTTAACGAGGACCAATACCGCACATCCTCGGTCCCTACGCAGACTGATCCATGTGGTCGCCCACCCGCACACCGACTGCAGCCAGTGATGCCTGACTTCGGTGATCTGTTGGGAACCGTGCCTTAACAATCAGTCCACTGCGGGACGGATTTGATGATTGAAACCCTCCAGTACCTTAAATTATTATCAATTGTTAAAAAGCATTCAATAGTTAATATTTATTCATGTATTATTATAAAATTGTTTTTAAAACTTGAAAAGATGGTCAAGCAATAATTATCTACCAATAGTTATGTATAGTAAAAAAACTGTTTTTTACTTCTGAAAATAAATTTCATTCTTTTAAGTACTTCTTCCTCATTTTTAAAAAGACTTTTCCGATGGAATTTTTCTTTTTAAAATTAAATAGGGCAATAAAAGTTATTTTCTCTGTATATTTATTATGTAACTATCGGGTAGCATTCATTTTAGCAACAATCGATTGTTGAAGTCTGTCGATGAAGTGATCACTTCATCGACAGACCATTTCATTGCCTAGGTCATTTCGTCGACTTGGTCATATCGTCGACAGGATCATTTCGTCGACAGGGTCATTTCGTTGACAGGTTTATTTTCTTCGACAATTTGTAGAAAAGGTTATTTCGTAGGCAAAGTCATTTTAGTAATTTTGTAATGTAAAAGTAATTTTGAAACTAGTTTCATGATTTTTTACATTAGATGTTATGCCCCTTGCACTTCTTTGTAATTTAGTATATTTGTGTTGAAATTTTTTAAACCTAGCCTGATACAAAATACCTAAATTCCTAGACCACTGACTCCCGCAGTGGACTGATCGTTAAGACACGGTTCCCAGCAAATCACCGAAGTCAAGCATCACTGACTGTGGTCAGTGTGCGGGTGGGTGACCACTTGGATCAGTCTGCGTAGGGACCGAGGGTGTGCGGTATTGATCCTCGTTAAACTGTGCTACCGTAAAGTGCTCGACTTCGCGCAGGTCGTCGGGCTACCGAAGCGGGGGTGCCATCCCCTCCGCAGAGGATCAAAATTGTGTGGGCATGTCTTCGGATCATCTTCAGGGATGTTTCCCAGACCGTCGCCAATAGCCCATTGTGCAGCTCTAGTGCGATGTAAATGAACAACAACAACAATAGAGAATAGACCGATAACTTTTTTGTGATAGTGAAGTTTAAAAAATGAGTGATAGGAATAAAGCAAAAAGTTTATGTAAGAAAATGGAATTTTCGACCCTTCCGTATCATAGAAAATTAAAATCGGTATGTAACTTTTATGTTTACTTCTTTTGTCTAATATATGAGTGTATTTTTGAAAAATTGTGGTTTATATTAGTGGTGATATAAGTGTTTTGAAAAGTTTTTATTGACGCATTTTTTTACTTTTAACTTGTAAAATTTTGAATTAAAACTTACATTATTTGCTGAAAATTTTGTTGAATGCAACATAAAAAAGTTTACAAAAAGCACAGTTTAACGGTAGCACAGTTTAACGAGGACTAATACCGCACAACCTCGGTCCCTACGCAGGCTGATCCAAGTGGTCACCCACCCGCACGCTGACCGTAGCCAGTGATGCTTGACTTCTGTGATCTGCTGGGAACCATGTCTTAACGATCAGTCCACTCCGGGACTGTTAAATATGAAAAGGCGAGGGTCAAGACATTGAACTAGTCTTCTCTCCAGATGGCGCATTCAAACGGTGCTATCATTAGATCTAAAAGAGCAATTTATTTCTAAATTATTGCGCAATAATAAATTTCTATATTATTGTATTCATCACAAATTATCACTGTTATAAATATTAATTTAAGAGCTTAAACATGTCTTGAATTAAAAATTGATTGCTGTAATGGCGATATCACGTGAAATTTTTACTCTCGACATTAAATTATTTAAATAATTTAGTTAAAGTAGAAGTTCTTGTTTTTTTTAATATTCATTCAATCCTTTGTAATTTTCTCAACTAATTGACCGTAGCTGTGACCATGGATTAGGTCTAGTTTTGTTTTGCAAGAGTTCAATTTTGTCTGCTACATTTCAAATTTCGCTAAGTTGAGATTAATTATGAATACCGCTGTTACTTCATTTATTATTTATTTTTACACTTGTGGACTTTGCATTCAATTTTCATTAGAAACTGATGAAATTGAATCTTCTGAAAAAGATTGTGGTTGTGGAGCACTTAAGCGCGATGAAAATTTAAGGGATTCAAATTCTGAATGCTCATCAGGTACTGGTAAACAATTGCATGACAATGAAGATTCCGTGACTAAGTACATGGAATCAAATCAAAATATTCATGAAGCCAATGAAGAACCTTTTGAAAGTGCCGTGTTTATTAAAGGTGGCGAATTTCAGATGGGAACTGACAAACCAGTTTTTGTTGCCGACGGAGAAGGACCAGTTCGTAAAATAATTATCGAAGACTTTTATTTAGATGTTCTTGAAGTTAGCAATAGAAAATTTGAAGACTTTGTGAAAAACACAGGACACATTACTGAAGTTTGTCTTTTAAAAATTTCTTTCCCTTTTAATTGCTTCTACTTTAACTATTGCCTTTTTAATTCGGAAATCGCTGGTCATAATATTATACGGCCTTTTCTATTTAATTTAAGTGCACTATTTTTCTTCTTCAAATAATTTAGTATTCTTTTGTTTTAATATTGAAACAATTTTTTTAATCAAACGTTATTTAATTGAAAGTTGTAATATCTTTTTACTCTGCTGCTCGTGCTAAATGTATATATGTTTTACGTTTCATTGTCTCCACAGAAACTTAGTATATTTTCGTATTGTTATCTGTCGCTCCAACAGCAATCGCCTTGGCGCGTAATGGATTTTAAACTTGAGTGAGAAAAAAAATTATTGCCAACTGAGTATTTTATGTATAAGTTTAAGAAATGTATGTGTTTATTTATATCAAAAATTATTCATAATAATAATAATATAAAGAAATGTAAATTGTTAGCAAAGTAGGCAGAATTTAAAAATTTATGCTAAAAATCAATTACTGTTAGAATTTGTTTACTTTGTCAAAATTTTAAATGTTTGCAAAATATTTAATATACAGTTCATAAAATATTTCAACTTATTCACTTGTTTTAAGGATTTATTATAGGTTTACTATGATTATAACAATGTATCACGCAACTTAATTTTGATTTAACTGGCTAAATTATTGTTTATCTAAAAAATGTAAAAAAAAAAAAAAATCCTATTTGAAATGAATAAGGAATTTTCTTATAATCAGTATGCATAAAATAACTAAAGTTACGCAATAAAATAAGAATTACAGACCCTACTTTTATTTATTACCTTTTTGTTTTTGTTGAAATTATCTTTTTTTTCTCTTAATTAAATTTTTGACCATTTATAATTTTTTTATAACTGTTAATTTTTAATTTTGCAGGCTGAAAAGTTTGGTGATTCCTTTGTTTTAGAAGCTTTATTAAGTGAGAATGTCAAGTCTACTATTACCCAAGCAGTAAGTTTTTTTTTCTCATTATGATTGTATTTTAAACTTACATCTTGAAATATTAATATATTGTAATGCATTTGTAAAAAAATTTTTGTAGGTTGCTGCTGCACCTTGGTGGTTACCTGTAAAAGGTGCAAGTTGGAAGAATCCAGAAGGAGTTGATTCTAATATTTCTGACAGGTATTTGTCTTTTTAATTGTTTACTCATTTAATAAAAAAAAAAAAAAAAAAAAAAAAAAAAAACTAAAANAAAAAAAAAAAAAAAAAAAAAAAAAAAAAAAAAAAAAAAAAAAAAAAAAAAAAAAAGCAAACAAACAAAACAACATAATTTAGAAACTTATTACTTAAAGACTAAGTTTTTTTGAAAAGAGAAAAAATTGCATTGTGTTGGGAAATCATCCTTAAATACACTAATCGTCTTGCAGCTATAAATTTTTTCCCTCTTGCAATGAAAGTAAGGTTGTACTGTAGAAAGTAGATTTATTGGACCACATTTTAAAAACTTCTTATTAGTTTATAATATTTTTTAAAAAAAGGAGAAGTTGCGAAAGGAATATTGCTTTTTATTTTAAACACAAAATGTCATTATAATATTTAATAAATAAAATAAGTAAGTGTAATAGATAAGATTTTTTGATAATTTTATCTTAAAGATGTACTTGTATTTTGCCTTTTCAAATCTCTTTTTCCTAATTTGATATGAATATGACATTAAATTTTACTCTAGGATTGAAGTTGTATACATTTTTAAACAAATTATCAGATTCTAATTTTATTTAGGTCTTGCCTTTCAAAACACTTTGCTCTTCTTCATAGGCCACCACTACTTAACAAGCACTCCAATATCAGAATCTGCAAAGATTATTATTTTAATACCTCATTGTATTTTATACAAGTTTTGTCTATTTATAAATAATCTTAAATTGCCTTAAAAAAATTTTAATAAGTCCTTTTTTATTTGATTACATTTAAATAATTAATATTTTAATTATACTTGGTCAGGAATCATATAACTAAATTTATTTAGTTATTGTGAATATATACTTTCCTTTAAGATTGGAATATATATTTTAATTTAAGACTGGATCATCCTGTCATACATGTTTCATGGAATGATGCTGTTGCTTACTGTAAATGGAAAGGAATGCGACTTCCAACTGAGGCTGAATGGGAGTATGCATGTCGATCTGGACTGCATAACAGGTAATTTTGAATTGATTTATTTGTGACACGACACCTGATTTGTAAATATATATTAATTTTCAATTAATGTACAAATACTGATAGTTGGTTGAAAATTTTGTAATATATTTAATATTTGTAAGGTCTTCAGAGCCCATTCATCTGCAGAAGCCCATTCATCTGCCATTTGACCCATTCATCTACAAAAAATTGCACCTGTGGCAGTTCTTAAATGGTTCCTTTTGAAAAATACAATATTTGTTTTCATGCTTTTTCTGATATTTAAAAGAAGGGAAAAAAAACAAGCAAAATGAAAATGTAATTTGAGTTTATATATTTTAATTATCAATGTACAATAATCAGGGCCCGATTTAGACTAATTGGGGCTCGGGGCAAAAACTTCTTTGGGGGCCTTCTGCTACACTACTTCAGCAATGAAGAATCGAACTTAATGGGGGTGACAAAATATCGTTCGCCCATTTTATTGATTGACAATTCCATGTCCATCATGCCAATTGCAGTTTTTGGTTGTCATCTAGCTGCGAAAAATTCATATCCTCTAATTAGGATGGAATTCAGCAAAATGTTCGCAATTACAATGCCCCAATTAACCCAATCAAAAGCCCATATTTTTGTAAACACATCACATTTTGCGATATGTAAAAATACAAGCTTTTGATTGACCAGATTTAGCTGAATTACGCCCTAGAAAGTGACAGATTTACAAAATATAGATTTTTTGTGTTCTTATGATGGATTAATGAAGAAGCTAACATAAAACTGACAAATTTTACACTGTACCGATATTTTGTTTAGAGAAAAATTCATTAAAGAAGGAAACATAAAATAAACTTTCTATTCAATTTGGCCACCCCCTTTGATGTGGCCCTGCCTTAGTCAGGCTCTGGCATTAATATACAGTACAGAACCCGTTTTCCGGAAATCAGAAAACCGGAAAACCAAAAAACCGGAACGAAATTCAATAAATTTTCCGCCATTAAAAAAAAAAAAATTTCCCTCATAAGATTTTAGGATTTTTCTTTCTTTTTTGAAAGATGTTTACCTTACCATCATTTTGGAAATAATCATTAGTGTATTACTTCATCGTTTTTTCTTCTTTTTAAGTTTATTTCCAAAATTTTTTTTTTTTTTAGTTAGGTTTAACAATTAAAAAAACGGCTTTTTGTAGTGATTCAGAAAGCCGGAAAAATCAGTTATCCGGAAAAATCAGTTATCCGGAATAGCGATGGTCCCGATCGTTCCGGATAATCGGTTCCCTACTGTATTAACTTAAAATATTTTTTTAATATCATTTTTGACAAAGATTCTAAAATTATCAAGAGTCATGACTACACAACTGGTATATGCCAGGAAAAAGGCTGTTGCTTTTTGATCTGTGTTGAATAAATAAGTAAATTATCAAACTGTAAAAATGTACAGTCATTCATATATTTTATTTTAAATTCAAAATTCTGATGCAATTTATATTAGAAATTTTAAGCTTTTATATTAATTCCTTTATTCATAGTTCCTTAATTAATTTATTGAGATTAATTGGAGAGAGTTTTGACCCATTCATCTATTTCGAGGGTTTGATTGGACCTCCTGTAACTCAGTTCCTCATCATCAATTTCAGTTATCAAAAAAATAAATAAATAAGAGCAAAAGTCATTCAGGAAAAATTGCTTGAAGATTTTTTCAAGGAAAAGTTAATAGAATCAGCTAAAAAAGACAAATTATTAAGCATAGAACCAGGTTTTTCTTTCACCCCTAAATCCTTATCTCTTTTACCCTGATCCTTGTGAATTTATTGACCTTGAAAAAAACTGCGGGAAAAAAATAATATCTTTGACTCTTCGACATAGTCTGAAAATGTGTCAGTTGGGCAAATTATCTCTCTTTAAAAATAAAAAAAATCTTCACAAAGAAAATAATAGTAGGAAAGTCTACACCTTGTTGTACCCTTCAAAAAAAGTTTTCGAAATAATTTTAAATATCTAACTAATGATTTTGTGCCCTTTTTTAATTTTGCGTCCATGGCTGTTGCCTCAGTCACCATATTCTAGATACACCACTGAAGGTCTTTATAAACAAAAACTGATTTGATTGTGATTGATATCTAAGGTGTAAAATCAGTAACTATGATCTTTCTTATAGTAGATGAGACTTTTCACTACATTCACTACGTACAGTTGCATATAAAATCAACTTTAAAGTTCTAAAATTGATAATTAAATGGTCTTCGTGTATTTTAGACATTATGAGCATTATAAAATAGTGTAATATAATAATGTAATGATAAAGTTCTTGCTGTTGTATACTGTAATAAATATTGAAATATATTTGTTACAAGGTCATTATGAAGTTGAAATTTTGAAAATTATACTGCTGATAATGCAAGAAAAAAAAAACTGACACCTAAGAATTTAACTTCTATTTGTGTTTGCTTATGAGAAATAGTGTATTAGAAACGATTGTAGGACATAGGTAAAAGTTATTTGATGAGAAAACTAAAGTATTTGGTTTTATTTAGTGACAGACAAAGGCATGTCGAGAAATTTTCATAGGTGATGGGGCTATCCCAACTTACTAATCTTGGGGTATATGTATCATTAATGACACTTTGCTAACTCAATTATTTTATTAACTGTTCATTTTGAAGCTAAACCACTGCATTAATACAATTATTTTACTGAAATTTTTTTCATCATTTTCTTTACCCAATTTTTTATCAGTATTCTATTAGGTTTGCTATTACAACTCTTTTGTTAACTTGATTTTTTCCATTTTGATGAAACATTAAAAGAAAAATAAACAACAGATTAATAAGCTTCAAAATAGTAAAAAAAATTTTAGAATTTGGATTAAAGTCAGCATTTGAAATTTTTTTTCGTAAGAGATTTTGAACTGCGTTTATCATTATTTGTTAAAACTTACTAATTACAAAAGAAATGCCTCTTAATTAAAACTATTACTATTATGGTTGTTGATGATTCTATGTGTCTTAATCTTTAATGCATATTTATTAAGGCTATTTCCATGGGGTAATAAGCTTATGCCACATGATGACCACTACATGAATATCTGGCAAGGCACTTTCCCAGATAACAATACAAAAGAAGATGGCTTTATCAGTACAGCACCAGTATGTATTCCTTTTGTTTTAATAATAAAAAAAAAAACTATTCGGCAATTAGAACTTTTCATTATATATTTAAATTGATTGAAAGCTTCATGTATTTTTTGTTAACAATATTAACAAGTCTTACAGTTTTGATAATTAATATTGTATGACGAAAACCATGGCTTCAGACAATTATGGTCTAAATATTCAATTACACTAGGGGTGCACAACCTTTTTGAGTGAAGGGCCACTTGCACAGCCGCCTTGCTAACGAAGGGCCGCAGATCTATTTAGACATGTTAATGACAAATGTAATAATGTTTATTTAAACCAGGGGTTGACAAACTTTTTGATCATCGACCCCCATAAAAGTAATTTTCTGTTAATTAAGATAAAACTCTATAAGATACTGTGTTTGTACAGTTATTTTATGATTTTGAATATTTATTAAAGTAATAGTACATAGTGTAACAATAGTTTTATGAAAAATATATTAATGTTGAAATATAAATACCTTAATATTTATGAAATAATAAGTAATTATAAGTAAGTAGAAATAATAAGTAAAGTAACTACGGATTTATTGCTTCTTAATCAATGACATGGGTGTGCCT